AAACCCGGCCCAAAAAAAAAAAAGAAAAGAAAAAAAGAAGAAGAAGGAAACACCCGGGACGAGGTCCCACTTGGGTGGCAAAGAGGATTGGATTAAGCGCCTGAATCCGGGTACGTTTTATGCACAGATGCAGAAACGCAGATCAATTGCGATCTTCTGCACCCCTCTACACAAACAGAAACGCAGATCAATTGCGATTTTATGCACCCCTCCACACAAACACGTCCAGATTCAGCCTTTCAATCCAATTCTGGTTGCTGGTGGGACCTCAACCCCCCTAGACAGGACAGGATTTCTTCTTTTTTCTAGGGAATGGACAGGGCTGGGCGAGTATACTCGCACTAGACCCTCAAAATCACAAAATAGCAAAATGAGCGGCCAGATCGTGCTCTTCTTTGAGGAGGACTGGATCTGGCCGCTGAGTTTGGGATTCTGGGATTTTGAGTGCCTAGTGTGAGTCTGACCATTTATTATAATTTATTCTCTCAATCTTCTTTGTATATTTTTTTCCTCATCGATGTCATCCTCTCCCTATGGATTTTGAGTGCCTAGTGTGAGTCTGCCCATTTATTATTATTTATTCTCTCAATCTTCTTTGTATATTTTTCCTCATCTATGTCATCCTCTCCCTACTCTATGTATAGTAGGGGGGAACACCAACCAAACTTTTTTTTTTTTTTTTTTTTTTTGCTTCTTCTAAGTAATCTATCTTCTTCCCTCATTCTTCTCTTGCATATATTCTATCTCATCCTCTGGCTAGTCTACATCACACCTCCCTATCCTGCATCAGAGGATATCCACACTATAACTTTTTGGACTAAGGGTCTGATTCCACACTATTCCGTAAAAGTAACGAAAAATCTGGGCCCCCTCGGGGACCCCACCTTCCCGTACCCTCCGTAGGTTTCATCTGGGTATCGGCGCGGGTTAATGGTCCACTTGAATGGACACTGCCGCCCCCGCCGCCGGGGGCACGGTTCCACTAGCAATGGAGTAAGGTAAACCGTGTCCCACAAACACCTTCGGGACATCTGCGGGACATCGTCCGACCACTGATGCAGGAGAATCGGATGGCAGCAAAATGGCGAGGGATTTATATTCTGAAGTGGTGTTTTTTTGTTTGTTTTTTTGTGCTTTTTCTTTCCAGTTCCCAAGATAGAGGCGGGAAAAGAAAATAGAAAGACTCATTTTAATTGGCAGCTCTTCAAAAGATTAAAAAAAATCAAGTACTCGAAGGGCATAATTTTGACCCCCTTCTTTTTCCGGGTCAATTGTTAACCCCATCCAGTACTTCAATTCTCTGAAAATATACGAAATGCATGCTTCAGCATGGCAACCGTCAGAGGAGGGAGTCCCATCAGGCACACGAAGGGACTCCCTCGAGGTGGTATGCGAGACTGCAACAGTCACGTACCACTCTGTCCTGATTAGGTATTGGCTGGGTGGGGAGCAGAGGGTGGAGACGGGAGGGTTAGTGGGACGGCTGCACTTTCAAAAGTCCGACTTCTTCCCATCTTGGGAAATGTACCGTCGCCATTTTTCTTTTTTTAAGTCTTTAAAATTACTTTTCTTCCTTTTCTTACAGTGCCGCACAGGTCCAAATAGGCCATGACTCGTGTGCTAGTGGAACCGGTAGTACACTTGCCATTTTTGTGCGGCCAGCCCAACAGAACGGACACACACAAAAAAA